TAATAAAAAACAACAAAAATGTTTTTTTTGTCAACTTTAGAGTTCAATTTACTGGCTGCTGGTATGAGTTGAAATTGGGAATTGAAAAAAAAATCGATAGCAAAAAATATCGATATTTTGGCACTGAATATTAAAATGGCTGAATTAAGTATTTTGTGCATTTAAACGTAATAAAAGTTATATATCTTAAGCTTATTAAAATTAGTTTATTTTAGAAATTATTGAAAATCGAATACAATTTTTTATATTATTTTGATATTTTTTTTATTTTAAAAATTAATTATTTTGTGCAATTAAGGGTCAGGAAAAAGTATATTAAGTTTACCTAAATCCATTTAGTTGAAACACATCGAAAAGCTCATAGAATTTTTAATCGATTTTTTAGTACATAATCATTATATTATAATTTGATCGATCACGTTTTTATAAGTAGAGACGATGAAAAAATCGATTATTAACCGATATATATCGAAAAAATATTATCGATAACAGAAAAATCGATTTATGTCGGGATAAAAATTATCGATAATAGAAAACATATTTCTGTGCAATTGAAAGCCAAGTCATTTAAATTTATTTTCCTTTGAAAATATCGATAACACTAATTTACAATCATTTTGCGACTGTGAAATTAGAGATTATTTCTTGATAATTTTGGGTACTTAAAAGAGATTGTAAAAATTTTCTAACAATTTTTTTTTTTTTTTTGTAAACGTGATGGAGAAGTCGCAAATTGTAACTTCAGATTTGTAATGTAATTGAATACAATTTTTATTCGACTCTTACTATTGTAAATCTTATTAGATTTTTTTTTTTTATCTAGATTCGATAATTCGGGACTGACATAATTGAAAAACTATCAAAGATCGACCACAAAAAAAAGCGATTGTTAATCGATACAATATTTATCGTTACAAAATAATTTTGATATTTGAAAACGGACGAAGAGACGAAAAATTATCAAATCGCAGATAAACGACGATTTAAAACAAAAAAAAATTAAATGTTTTGAAAGTCAAAATTCAAGAAAATATATTTCCAATCAATTTTGGAAGTAAAATCATATGACCCGAAAATATTATATTTATTCCAATTAAATTGAAAAACCACCAAAGATCCAACACAAAAAATCATCAAATCGAAAACAAGTCGTTAGACGATTTAAATCGCAATAAAATTTATCGATACAAGATAATTTTGATATTTAAAAATGGAAAATAGCCGAAACTTAAAACGACGTTTAAAAATGAAAAATTTTGGAAGTGAAATCCAGAAAAATATATGTATTTCAAATTTAGTGTCCTACCAGAAGAAGTCAAATCATATGTAATTACTATTTAAATTGAAAAAAATTATAAATTTTGAAATCTTAAAATCCGTGCAATTATATTCCAATCAATTTTGAGTCCTACTGGGAGCAATTAAATCATATGATCTAAAAAAAAAAAAAATACATTTAGTCTATTTAAATTGAAATACTATCAGAGATCGACCACAATGATTTTTAATCAGCTCATAAACAACGGAGATTGAAATGAATAATCGGTTGTAAAGGAACCGATAGATTGAACTTTTCACATTCTTTCAGTTCAGTCTGAAATTTTAAACAAAATCTTTTATAGTATATGGCAATTTTTGATGTATAATTTTACTTTTAGAAATCATTAGTCTAGATTCTTTAAGATTCCGCACAATTTTTATAAATTTATAAAAAAAAATCCTTGTACAAGATCCTTCAAAAATCCTTACAATTTTTATAAATTTATAAAAAAAAATGGTAAGTTAGAATGAAATAGTTAGATTTAATAGCTAAGCCATCACCAGCCAGTTTAACAATCAAATGTTATACTCTCTCACCTCATTATCTCTTGATATTTCGTCAACTACAGCTACTCGCACTCTCTTCTAGCACTCTATAGCTTTCTTTTTTAAGTTCTTCACTTTCTGCTGTGCTTTTACTCACTCTCTACCATAGTTACTTCCTTTTCATATGACACTAGCACACCTACGCTTCGTAAAACTCGAACCCATAACTCACTAACACTCGAACCAATTACTCATTATTAGGCATTTCCACGAAATGGCAAATTTTCACCTAAGAATCCAAATAAAAAGTATTTGTCATACTTTCGGACTTACGGAAGCAATTTAGCTCGGTTAATGACAGTAACCAAGAAATAAATAAGAAAAATCCCAAACACTCATGAACTTTTAGAATTAAGTAAGCAAGAAACATTGCACCCTTTCCGGCGCTGCAACGACCTTGCCGCTTGCGGTATTGGCCAGCTCAGCTGTCATCGACACACTTTACACTTCACACTTTTTTGTAGCAACAACAAAATATTAAGTATAACAGCAAATGTGCACACAAGCGAACAGCGCCTTGGGTTGTAAAGCAAGAAACAAAAACAAAGAAAAAAAAGACTAGTTCTACACCATACAACAACAACAGCAACAATTTCATAATCACAATTGATTAATCAGTGCACCTTATTCCGGTATTTAGAACTGCTCGTAATTTCTGAGAATTTTTTTTCTCGTCGAGCGCATTTTGTGTAAAAATGAGTCACGCACAAACGCACAAACGCTCTACACAAAAAACACTTTATGAAAAAAAATATTGATAATAAAAAAAAATTTTTTTTTTTTTGGTCAATAACACTTTGATGTCAACAGTTCAGAAATTTTAAATAAAATTTTTTTTTGGTTTTTTTTTTCAAAACAACCGTTTTCGCTGATGCGTGGGTTCACAGGGCAATCGCCGATCGCTTTAACTGCAGGTGTGATTGTTATTTCGAGCATGTGCAGAATATTGAACTCTTTCTGAGGCGCTTATTATCATGTGTGTATGCATTAAGTGTTTAAAGTTACTGAAACTAAGAAAAAAAAAGCCTGACGAAACCTTAGGTTAGGTCCCGTTAGCAACTAAACGATTTAGAACATTTTATCGAGACTTGGATAAGTTTCTTCCTAGGTTTGGTTCCTTCACAGTTGAAGATTCTTTAAAAACAATAAAACACAGAGTGTTATTAGAGACACAGTCACTGATCAGAATTCACTACAGAAACAAGAAATTTTATTGGGTAGAAAAAAAAACGGATATACAGCAACTGCCTACCTTCCTTGTTCCCATGTACTAAATATAACTACTTTGGAACCAATGAACTCACACTCGGTAGACCCATCGGTTCATATTTATTCAAAAATGATGCCGGTAAGAACTTAAATGTCAATGGCAACCGAAATCGTGCCATCATACCCGACTATTTGCAGCCTGAAGTGAAGCTCGGGATCTCAGCGACATTTGGTTTCAACAAGACGGCGTCACTTCTCACACATCGTATCAATCAATGGATTTATTGAGAGAATATTTTGGTGAGCAGATAATTTCACGTTTGGGGCCGATCGATTGGCCACCAAGATCATGTGATATCACAAGTTTAGACCTTTTTCTGTGGGAATATGTAAAGTCTAAAGTTTAGCCGCGGCCAACGTTTGAAAGAGATTATCTTTAAAAAATAAATGTCAAAGAATGTTCTTTCGAATGATATTAAACATTCGCCATTAAATTTGAAGTTTTTTCTCGAAATAAATCACCCTTTATCAGAAAGTTTTAGCCTCTTCAGATCTCAAACTATCTTAATAGCTCCACAGTCACACAGGAGAACTTCAATTTTCTTCTTGTCGACATTAAGAGACATTTCATATTTTGTTTTACTCTCTATCTCTATCAGGTATCTTAGAATGCAGCCTGTAGCCGATCTCAGTAGTCCTTGAAACTTTTTAACCATTCCAAATATTATATTACATTCTTGAAGTCCCATATCGTAACCTTTATATCATTTTAAGTATGTACTCAAATTGTTCAGCTATACCTGACTCAAATTACAAAATTACTCGTGTTCTCCAGTTTGCGGTAAGTTTACAGTGTGAACTTCTTTCTCTATCATTTTAGTTAACTTCCAAAGACCGTATTATAAGAGAGGAGCTCTGTCAGCTAACAAACCTCAAAAGAAGGGGCGCTGCAGTGAAGTGTTTAAGTAAATGGACGTAACCCAAAGCCGAGTAAATGTAATTTGCTTCAGATCCCAATTGACATCAACAGAACACTAGACTTGATACCAATATTTCAACTTCAGAGCAAAACTATTTGAGCCCGCAAGACTATAAATTTAATAGAGGTACCGAGTTCATATTAAGCTCAACTGTCAGCAATTTAAGTCGATATAAATCAGGCAACTTACAAAAAATAGGTTCTTACACAGACTTCGAACGCAACTAACTTCACTGCACTGACCGTCATTCACAGTGAAGCCATAAATACCTTCAGCGACTCCCTCTCAGTGAATGGCGTACTTGGAGTCAAACCCATTGCATGCGAAGAGTTTGAGTTGCCGCGAGAAACGAGAGTGACCCTTGCGCAGCCTCGTTCTGGATACTGTAGCAGGTTTAACTCCTACTTATCAAGAATCTACCTCGATGTACCAAATATATGACCAAGACGAACTTATCTGCACCTTACCATCCTAACGGGGACTAGATAACCATTACCACAACAACAGGGAACTTACCCACATTTCAACTTGTTAGATCAATATTTAGTAGACTGGCTGATAGAAATACAGAGAAATTATGAAAAGCAGCTCATTGTAGGGGTTTGTTTTGGAGCTGCGTTCAGATATAACTGAAGCTTAGAGAGCCCTGATGTTGGAAATGAATGTAGATTCCGACGATTGGCCACCTTGAGTCGCTTCTCTTGCGATATGTGTTAAAAAACTCATTGAAGAGGAAAGTTTAAATTGCAAAGCTCATCTTACAGCTCCATCTCGACTGTGATTGTAGCTTAGACTTCGTTCAGTGAGATTTTTGGAAACACTACGATTAAATTACTGGTTACGGCAGTACTAGGGCGGAATTTCGATTTTATGCCATAAGTAGAGGGTGCTAGAACCGATTAAGACGTTGTAAAATTGTTTATGATAGTTAGGCTTAGACATTTCGCAACCGAAATTTTAACCTAGGGACTGCATAAAGTCAAACCGTTCACGTTCAGACGACAGCTGGAGCCTATTACTTTGTAAGATAAGTTTTCGAAATCTTATATGCTGAACCATGTTGATAGTATAGATATACTTCTTTTTCATAGAAACCATAAAAAAATCAGACAACTCAGCTTTGAGCTGAGCCATTAAAGTATATAACATTATGGTATATAAATTGGCTCTGCTCAAAGCTTAACTTTCTGAGTTTGTTATGGTTTCAATCGAAAAAAGTCGGCATTCTTTTACAATATTATTTATTATTCGATTATATCTATTACTTCAAGCTTCAGTTATATACATATTTCAAATTAGTAAACGAACATTTAAGCTGAGCTTCGAAAATATGCTTAAAATCTGAATACCCCGCTGACCTTTCTGTACGAAAATCAACAAATACCAAATGTGGGCCATAGATTAAATATGTTTTAATAGGCATTGTAATACATATACATAAGCTAATGCGATAAGCTTAGACTTGCACTTGAATTTCCAAGTGAGCGTACACGCTTGCCCCCCGCTTTCCGCGCAAACGAAAGCGAAAGCAAAACCGTTGTCAATGACCGATTACCGGCAAACAATGGACCAAAAGTCAACAACATTCGAAGCAAAAATCAACTGATTGACCAGCGACGAATAAAAATACGAAGCACAAAACAAAAAACACAAAAGTAAATGAATGCGGCGTGCCGAAGCAAACACGAAGATGCGAAAGTCGGCAGGCAAGAAAAAAAGTGTCGGCATAAGAAGATGAAGCTAATTTTCTGGCTCGCCCAACAAAATTGCTTGACGTGCGGGAGTGCTACAGAATCACAACAGCAAATAACAACAATAAAGCCGAAGAACAACCGGATGACGGGCACTTCCGATGCGCTTTGGCATTGTATAAAACTGCTGGACGCAGCTGGATTCCACATCAGTCGAACACTCTCCGTTGTGCGTGCACAATCGCAATTTAAAGTAAATCAATTAAAGCAGAAATTTTGCTTGAAAGCTAAAATAAAAACAAAATGAAATTCTACGTCTGTGTTGTTGCTGTTTTTGCTGTTGCCTTCGCCAGCATGTGCTTGGTGAGCGAAGCGCTGGTGGCGCGCGCCCAATACAAAAACTCAGGTGAGTTTGTGAGGGTCAAAGGTGATGCGAGATCAAGAGAAAAAAATTATGAAACTTTAAAAATCATATTAAATCAAAAAAATATATAAAACTAAACAAAAATGTATTTGAAATAATTTAATTTGTTCTTGAATAAAAATTTTTGAAGAAACACTACAATAATTATAATAAAACATTTAAAA